GGGAAAGTAGTTGAAGAGGATTACTATGTATTCAACATAAGTCTAGTTATGGACCAACATGAAAGAATAGTTTAAGTCAAAGATTCCACTAATTTCCTTGTATTTTAATCCATTACAAAGGTGACTCTCTAAGCATTATTCGAGATCAGATTGAAAGATTTTACGATTATGATGTAATTAGTAGTAAACCTCCTACAATATATTGGGTAATCAAAATCCAAATGATGATGCAATTTCTGTATTATGTATGTGACATGCTTGATGTGACTTTGTAGACTGAGAAAAATGTGTGTTATTTGTATTGTTACTGATGTCCCTCTATTTGGATAAATGGGGTAGCCCTGCAGGCTTGGGGCAAGAAGAAGAAGACAACTTCCCCCCTTTCACAATTACTGTAGTGTCCACCATGCATGTACTGTTCTCAATTAGGTCCCTACTCTAAAGAATGGCTGTCCTACCCAAAAAATAATAGGACTTGCCTAGGGTATCAAAAATAAATGGTACAATAAGTTATAAATTTAAATAATTTTAATTTATATTTTAATAATTTTTTGATATTGAATTACGAGAAATTTATTTTAATATCGACTTTGGTTAGATCGAAGAGAAAATTTCTCTCGTTTTTCAAAAAAAAATTATAATTTTTAAAGCTTAAGTTATAATAAATGCAAAAAACATGATCAATTAAACAAATGTTTTTTTTTTGGTAATAAAACATTAAAAAGGAAAAAAGGTTGGGTTTTACGAAGGAATCTTCCCAAATTTATTCTGACGGTAGACATCAAATCAGAAACCATCTGTGTATTGTCTCTGGCATATCATTGTAGCTTTGAATCGAACAATCTTCAGCCACGTGTCCAAGCACAAAGAATTTCTACTAATCTCTTATTCTAATGAGTGCCGGTCTATTAATCGACACGTGATTCCCATAACTCACTTTAGCAGTCCCACCAATAGCATCGATTTATGTGCAAAAACAAAAAAAATAACACAACATTAATAAAAAATAAATCAAAAAAAAAAACCGCCCCATANTTTCTTATTCTAATAAGTGCCGGTCTATTAATCGACACGTGATTCCCATTACTCACTTAGCAGTCCCACCAATAGCATCGATTTATGTGCAAAAACAAAAAAAATAACACAACATTAATAAAAAATAAATCAAAAAAAAAACCGCCCCATATTAGGAAAGAAGTGATTGATAGAGGGTTGGGGTCCACCACAAAAATTAGACCAAAAAAAAAAAAAAGTATTGGATAAATACTTTAATGTAATTTTTTAAGCTAATTAGCGAAAAGACATACCTAAAACTGCAATCGGGANACCGCCCCATATTAGGAAAGAAGTGATTGATAGAGGGTTGGGGTCCACCACAAAAATTAGACCAAAAAAGTATTGGATAAATACTTTAATGTAATTTTTTAAGCTAATTAGCGAAAAGACATACCTAAAACTGCAATCGGGATTTGTCCTTATTCCCATTTTAATGAACTTGATTACGGTATGCAAGAAATTTTTTTTGTATCGTATTTCTAATTTTTATTATTTTAATAAATATTTCTATAATTTTTGTGAGTTATTTTATAACAAAAAAAATTAATTATTTTTATTGATATTTTTATTACTATTATGGATATTTTTACCACATTTTCTATTTTTACAATTTTTTTTGGTACAAAAAAAAATTATCACTTTTATACGTGATTTATTATATTTGTGAGTATTTTTATTATTATTGTAATAATTATTTTTACCCTTTTTTTGGGTACTACGAAAGTAGTAAAATTACTCACAAATATGATAAAAACAACCATAAATATGATAAATTGAGATATATTACCAAAAAAAAAATTCAGTAGGATCGTCAAATCCCATGTTCACACTGTCTTTTCCAAATTACAAAAAAAAACACCAATAAGTCTTATTGAAAGCCATAGTTTCATAAGAAGGTAAAAGCTTAAAAAGTGGCCGACTTGAAGGCTCCTCCTATCCCATGGATGNAGTACAGTGTCTTTTCCAAATTACAAAAAAAAACACCAATAAGTCTTATTGAAAGCCATAGTTTCATAAGAAGGTAAAAGCTTAAAAAGTGGCCGACTTGAAGGCTCCTCCTATCCCATGGATGGCCCCACCACCAGGCAAAATCCCAATTGCCTCCATCTACGGCCAAGACTAATTCTTTAGCTATTGNTTTCATAAGAAGGTAAAAGCTTAAAAAGTGGCCGACTTGAAGGCTCCTCCTATCCCATGGATGGCCCCACCACCAGGCAAAATCCCAATTGCCTCCATCTACGGCCAAGACTAATTCTTTAGCTATTGCATTCCACCAATGCCACGTCGGAGATTCATGCATCCTAGTTGTCTTCCAAGGGATATAATTTAGACACTATCCCTAAATTCTACACAAAATCGATAGAGATTAAGCAAATTCAAGCTTAATTTTAGAGGATTGGTGTGATAAACAGGCCAATTCAATAGGCCCGTTAAATATCCATCAATACGAACCGACTAAACACAATATGAACTTATTAAACACGACGTATATCAACCAAAAGATAAATTTAACATTTTGTTCTAAAGTGACTGAACAAGGATGGATTGAAAGTAAGATAGATTTAAGTTTAAGTGACACAGAAATAATACAAACTTTGCATAACACAAATCTGGTTATTTACTATCATAAAAGCATTTGATGAGAATCAAACAAATGTTGATAATAAGCAACTTAGACACAACTTGAACTAACAGAACACAGCACCAACCATTGCCAAACCTATGATTGGTTATATATATATGCTTTAAATTGGCATTGATCAAGAGTTTGATACTCATCAAGATAAAAATGCTCCTTAAGACCACCTCCCTTAAATTTAACCCTTGTGCATGCATGAAGAAAAGGCTTTATGCACAAAAACCCAAATTGACTACCACCCATGAGTCCACTTGAACTCGGTTGATAAGGGTTCCTGAGTTACCAAAAATAAAACATGCGGACGCCGTGCTGACCTAGTTAATGCAGAGTAGCAGACAACTAATCTGATTCCAAGTGGATCATTTACCATTCAAAGATGCCAATCGTGTGACATCAAGTTGTGCTCAGGAATGAATGCTTCGAAAAGAGAAAAAGCTCTAATGAGAGGAGGAAACGTGTGTCTAATTTTAGAATAATGTTGTAGACATTATCTTTTTTACACTATTTGATGTGACATAATTAAAATTATTAAATATTTAATAAATTCTGTGAAACTCATTAATCTAATCGTATATGTCAAGATAGTGCACAAAGGTGATATAAAAAAATAATGTGCATAGCATTATTGCTAATTTTATGACACGTTATACAATATTGGAGCAGCCCCTTCTAGCATATGCACTTAAGACTAACAAGGGACGAGACAACACCTATGACTTTTGGGTGTCAACTAACGAGGCATGAGTAATACTTAAACGAAAGAATATTTAATATAACGATAATATCATGTCAGTATTAATAATATGATATCACTAATTAATAATAAAATTTTAAATTGACAAAACGAATACTCCTTGAATAATTATTGACTCGTATAAAAAATGAGTGAATAATTATCTTCTTATATAGACTAGTAATTAAGGTAGTCAAATGTCTCGTCATCTAATTAGTAACGCGCATGAATGAATTAACGAAATTTTCATTGTCCGTATCTACTATCCTGCGAAACCACAGCCAAAGAAATNACGCGCATGAATGAATTAACGAAATTTTCATTGTCCGTATCTACTATCCTGCGAAACCACAGCCAAAGAAATAGACTTAAACAAAATCAATAGGGAAAGAAAACCTTGTTGAGCTTGACTCTAATCCAACTTCTTAGTACCATATCAAAAATTTTCAATCGAGTTATGATTCAAATGATTTGATTAAGATTAATCCTAACTTTTTGAATTGAGTCATAACTTAAACCCTATTGAATTATATCCCTTTCATTTTTGTTGGGACCATTGTCTGNATAGACTTAAACAAAATCAATAGGGAAAGAAAACCTTGTTGAGCTTGACTCTAATCCGACTTCTTAGTACCATATCAAAAAATTTCAATCGAGTTATGATTCAAATGAATTGATTAAGATTAATCCTGACTTTTTGAATTGAGTCATAACTTAAACCCTATTGAATTATATCCCTTTCATTTTTGTTGGTACCATTGTCTGCNTGATTCAAATGATTTGATTAAGATTAATCCTAACTTTTTGAATTGAGTCATAACTTAAACCCTATTGAATTATATCCCTTTCATTTTTGTTGGGACCATTGTCTGCCCTCAAATAAGAATATCTCAGTAAACCCACAATGAATTAAACCGACAATTGGCCCACTTTGTGCTTTCTCACTCACCCATTACAGTTCCTTCATAGCATTACATGAAGTCAACATACAAGGCTACGACAAGAACTAGTCATGATAGAAGATGATCCACGCCTTCTGCCACTACTACAAGAGACAAAGCTCTCTCCCCCATGTGTGTGTGTGTGAGAGAGAGAGAGAGATTTGCTTATTTTCAAAAGGATGAGATAACACAGAAGAACTTTAGGAACACCACGTGGAGGATCGACATAAAAGGGGTTGCTGAACTTGGTTTGATTATACTTGATTGCACGTTGCTTTGCTTGGAAGTGAAAAAGAAGCAATTGAAAGATACCACCCCACCCAATCCTAGTGGTTTGACATTTCAATATTGAATGTTTTTTGTCATTAGTGTTTGACCCATTTCCTGAATGTTTTGTGGTTTGACTATCAGGATCAATCGGTTTTCAATTGGCTTCGTGCAAACTTAATGGGAAAATGAACCAATGGTATGAGAGAGAGATGGAGACAAAGAGAAACAGGCAAAAAAGCAGTCCAATAACCCATGACCACCACAGAATTACAACAAAAGAAATGCTAAACTTCCCTGGATCATGTTGTCTTCTTCCTTTTGGGATTTACAAAGGTCAAAATCCNAAACAGGCAAAAAAGCAGTCCAATAACCCATGACCACCACAGAATTACAACAAAAGAGATGCTAAACTTCCCTGGATCATGTTGTCTTCTTCCGTTTGGGATTTACAAAGGTCAAAATCCATGAAGAATATGAGAACCTGATGATGAGGATGATGACGACGACTTAATGAACACTAGGACACGAGTCACAAGCGCGGACAATTATATCCATTTTGAGATTGATAGGCTTCATCCTCCAGCATCATTAACCTTGGAATTCCAAAATATCAAAAGCACGCGAGCCTTAAGCAAACACCAACATTGGCAAAGTAGCATGTCTAAGTTTTTCTGCTTATAAGCCAAGAACATCAACATCCTTGCTTAGCTTGCAGTATCTGCAACCACAACAGAATTCTATGACCATGAGATCACGAGATAACAACTAAACGAAACTAGAATGTGTGTAATTAGTCATGGTACTGCAACTACAGAAAGCAACTCAGTCAAAGATGATACAAAAACCACCCAAAACATGAACATTCTTTTAAGTAAGCAATAGAGTGGAGATTTCCACAATTACGTTTCCGAGTTTTGAACATGACTGGTATAGGACAAATTGTCAGGGGGACAATTGGACAAGAACTCTGCCAATGATTCTCTTCCTTGAGAATGTATAAAACGTCTTTCTTTCAACAAGAATTCCTGTGGGGGCTCAAAATTGAGATGACTTAGCCAACTGTCGTGCAATAACATTTGGCCAATATAATACATAAGCGTACGCCAAGCTCAGAGGAGTAATCGAATAAAGTTCAGAACAACTGATCATGCATGTGTACACTCTCCCTCAGAAAAAGATAAATAAATAGAAGAAAATTTACTCATGCAATGGTATTATTGAAAATGCATACAACTATAAGGTGACAGAAGCTTTTGGTCTCATTGGGCATGTTTTGTGTATTTGCTCAGTACAGGATAAAAGGTGGCTCAGAAAGTGTGATAACTTTATTCATCAAATGGCTGGTTTTGAGTGAAGGAGGGCTGTGGAGGGATGGAAGGGTATTTTTTTTTGTGTGTGTG